ACCAAAAAAGACGGTCTTTACATTCTTTACAGAAGCAAGCGTCCAGAAGAACCGATCAATTTACTTTACTTTAACAAAGGTGAAGAAAATCACTACTGTTGGATTAAAAACTTTTCTCGGTTGACGAGTGATATCGATCATCACAACGGCCAAAAACACTGGTGTTTCAATTGCATGTCGCATTTCCAAACGGAAGAAAAGTTAACCAGACACAAAGAAGATTATCAAGGATTAAACATTCCCACATGTACGGTCGAGTTGCCGGTCAAAGGCGAAAATATACTCAAGTTTAAAAATTACAAAAATAAACAAGACGCGCCTTTTGTCATTTACGCCGATTTTGAGTCTGTTTTAGAAAAACTACCGCCGACAGCGAGCGATACAAACACTCTCAAAACACAGATTCACAAGCCTTGTGGCTACTCATACGTGGTCGTCAGATGCGATGGAGTTTGCACTAGCCAAAAGACGTACAGAGGTCAAGACGCGGCTGTTAATTTTGTAATTCTGGTCACTTTCTAAGGAAACAAAGGAGATCAACGAAACGTTTAAAAACAAAGCGGAGTTGATCTGGTCGCTCGAGTTACAAAAAATCTACGAAAAATGTAATAGCTGTTGGATCTGCGAAAAGTTGATAGACAAGAGAAGAGAAGAATCTCAATGCCAGTGTGACATTCCAAATGAACCAAAAACAAAAGCTGACAAAATTGATTTCTGTCATAAAAATGAAGCTAGGTTCAGAGAATGGTATGTTTAGATAGCAAAAAACCCATCAATAATTTTAGAAAGGTCAAAGATCATTGTCACGTGACGGGGAAGTACCAAGGCCCAGTGCATGCCAGGTGTAATCTCAAGTTAAGAATAGTGGTCAATCAAACACAATAATACATAATTTAGAAAAATACGACGCACATTTAATCATGCAAGGCGCCCACAAATTTTACGGAAAATCAAGTTGATCGCTAAAAATACTGAAAATTACATTTCGTTTTCTTTTGGCCAACTCAGGTTTTTAGACTCATTTCATTTCATGGCGGCTTCGCTAGATCGGTTGGTTAAAAATTGTTCACCCGATGATTTTAACTTACTTTGTGAAAGGTTTTTAAATAATAAAAACTTATTGTTGGAAAAAGGAATTTACCCTTACGTATATATCGATTCCTTTGATCGTTTCCAAGAGAGACAACTCCCGCCTATAGACGCTTTCTATAGCTCTCTGAAGCAGTCCACCGTGACCCAGCAAGAATACGCTCGTGCGG